GACTGAATTTCAAGAACTAGTTGCCAAGGTCCCACTGGAAGCCAGGGGCACTTGAGCACCTGCCCCTTGGCCAGGATGGGATGGCATTCCCAGAAACCTAGTATCCCATTTCTGGGAGCCCAGGGAGACCAGGCAGCCCAGGAGCATCCTAAAAGCCCAAGGATGGTGCTTAGAAATCAGAGACAATTCCTGTTAGTTTAGCATTAAATTTGTCCGCAAAAAAAACAGAAACCCAAGCAATCTCATTTATATATTAAAAAAAGGGAAATACCCCAATTTTCTTCACAACTGGCACTTAATGAAGAAATTTTCTCAAGTCCTAAGCATTTAGCCATCCTCGCTGTTGTAAATTACACACTAATTAAGCACATTACACACACTCAAAAAAAACCATATCAATCAATTGGCACTCAATCTGCATCCAATAATTGCAGCTGCTAAGATTCAGCCTCCTTGGAAAAGTGCAATTTTGTGTGTTAATTATTTAGGTTTAGCACGTGAAATGGGAACAAATGAGGGGTCCAAATGCCACCTTGGGAAGTGGGTGCTGCTGAAAGCAGCAGGGGTTTTCCCCCTTCCTCAGCTCCGCAGAACAGCCCCCAAAACCCAACCAGAATTGGAACCAGCTGCGTAGGAAGCGTCTCATTTGCAGTAATTGCTTTGCAAAGGTTTGAGGTTTCCTCTCTTTTCCACCATCGCTCCCTTCTAAGAAGCTGCTGTGGGTCAGGGTATGGACTTGGTGGTTGGAGGAGCTGGGAGGATGGGGAGGTCTTGGTTACACTCACATTTTTATTGGAATCAGGGAAAGTTTGCTCACAGGGCTGACTGCAGGTATCTGCCTGGCAGGTAGCAGAAAATCACCATATTAACCTGGAAAACCTCAGCATCTCCAACCCTCCTAGTGCAGCTCTCCATGGAGAAACAGTTTGTGAAATAGCTCCTGATTAGCTTCCAGCGTCCCTGCTTCCATAGGGAATAGGCACAAGCTGCTCCAGGGATAAATCGCCTTCCTCATCAACCTAGCACTGGTTAGAAGGTCTGGGGAGGGTTCTCATCTTCCCAGCCATCCCCAATTACTATTTAACCTGTGGACTGTTTTTTTCGTGGCCGAGCCCAGGATCTGCTCTATGATTTGGAGAAACAAGCCCTGGGACAGCTGTACCCCTGGGCTCTGACCTCGTAACAGAATCATACCCTGGATTTACCCCTTAGCAAAACGAACACTCCGAGAGAGCACAAAGCTAAACAGAGAGAGACCTCACACGTTTCACACAGCACCGTGTCCACCAGCATTTCACTGCCAGCCAGATATAGATGGGAAAAGCAGTGCCCCAAGCAGCACCCCTGTCCCAAGTGCCTGTCCCTGCACTGGCAGGGCTGCAAGGAGCCCCTGACTCCAGCTGGGGCTGCTCCTATTAGGAGATCCTCACTGTAGGACCGTTTTTTCTCCCAATTTCTTCCTCCATCTAGTGCAACACCAAAGTTCGCTTCTTGCTAGGAATAAAATAAACCCACAGCCCTTCTCGGTAGCAACCAAGGATAGAGAGGAAGAACAATTTGAACGTCTAGAATAACCGCACACGTTATTTGGAGTGAGACGGACATAGCCAAGATCCTGCAAGGCTCCCTTATTCCTTGGGCTCCTTTCCCAAGTGCTTTCGCTCGCTGCCTCCCCTCTCGCCCCCAGCTCCAGCCGGGCTCACATTGCAGCTAAGACAATAGCTGCTTATGTTCAAATCCAGCCCCGCTTTCTGGGAAGGGAGCCAGGCCTGGCAGCTCTCGGCAGCAGGGAATAAAAGATGTTTTTATGCTGCAGAGCCCCCTGCACCAGTGGGGCTCCCTCAAAGGGAGGCCAGGCATCAGCCAGAAACAGGACTGCAGACAGATGCCCCGGGTTTCGAGGCAGAAGATGCTGAGGAAGAGCCCAGCAGCGTGCAGAGAAAGAGCTTCTTGTTCCAGGGAGATGGGAGCCAGGAGCAAGAAAGTGCTTGGGTGCAAGTGGATGCACCGAAACTGAGAGCCAACAAGCACGTTGCACCAGGAACACGTCGCGTTGGGCTGCTGAAATTGGGGGAAATGGGGATGCTCTGAGCACCAGGGCTACCTACCCGTGAAGAAAAGGGTCTCTGCTGCAGCAGGATTGCCTCCAATGCCTGGAGGTACAAGAGGAAAGCAGGCAGCCCTACGTTTCCCCAGCCCTTTCTTTGTGCCTGCTGCTGTTGAGCCTGAGAACAGGATCCAAAGGGATTTCCTCCTCCGGAGCGGGGCACTTCCAATGCCTGTGCAGCGGGATGGATGCTAAGAGGTGCCTACAGCTTCCTCAAGGATGGAGCCGGAGGGTCACAGCATCCCCAGCCTCCAGGAGGTCTCGGTGGTACCCAAGCACCAAGAGCAGCGCATCCAGCCACCTCGGGAAGCTCTACCTACCAGCTTGAAGATGACTCCCATGGCTTCACACCTTGCATATTCCCACCCTGCTTTATCACTTGGGCAGCTGCACCTCCTCTCCCACCTTCATGTCCTTCACAAGGCACCAGTTTTGCCCCAGTTGGCTGTTTTTGTACCTCTACTGTGCCCCAGGCAGTACATAATTCACTGCCCGATATCCTCCCCTCCTCAGATGCAGGAACAAACAGTGTCTTTAAAACATCCGTGTTTCACCTCAATAGAACTAAACGCAAATCAATAAATCTTAAAAACAGAAATGAAAGCGCACACACTGGCCTCTTA